GCATTTACAATTTTGTCCTAATGCTGAACTGTTTTAATAACATCCTAATTATATTTATTCTACACTGACACCATTTAGAGTCTTGTCTTAATAATCCTTCACCTTACTGCCCTTGCCCTCATAATATATTGTTATTATTTAAATAGTATCTTAGTCAAGACCTAATTCACCACCTATCTGCAAAACAATGTTGCAAGTTATCTTTTGCAGAATCTGTTAGGGAAGCTCACCAAATAGCAAATGTGTATTGTTGCAAATGCTTTATGCACTGTGCAAGTTAGGGTACCACCAAATCACAGATATAATTGGAGTTTAAAAGTTAGAGAGACAGGAAACACAGTGAAAAATCCCTAAATCAAGGAATAGTTTTAGCAAACTGTGCTAAAATGTGATGTTGATTAGCACAGCTCTAATGTAATGTTTTCCCATTTCAGACCATGTGTTCCTCTCTTGAGAATAAGTATCTTTGTTTGAGTTGTATCCATATTCATGTGTCTTCTCGTGTGCAACCTTCAAACAAAGAATAAATACTCAAGGGAATGACACATGATCTGAAACGGAAAGCACTGCATCCTAGATGGAAAGCATTCCTAGTAAAGAAAGAAATAATACTCAAGGGAATGACATGGTTGAAATGGGAAAACATTGCATCATAGCTGAAAAGCATTCCTAGTAAAGAAATAAATATTACTCAAGGGAATGACACATGGTCTGAAACTGGAAAATAGCAGATTAAGTCTATTTCTTGACTATATTTTATTCGTATTTCTATAGGGAGAAGTCTACGATACTGTTGGTGGAGGAACAAGTGTTCAATTCACGGGAGTGGAAACCTTGAAAAAAAGACAAAACCAACTTGGACAARCTAGCCCTGATAGGTATAGTATACAACTGTAAGATAAGATTAGATAGAGATAGGGTGATAGGGTAATGCCAGGATGCCATACTGGTAAGGGACAGACCATTAGATTTTTGGGGGGGGGGGGGTCAGGCAAAAACCAAATAAATATTCGAGCACAACTTTAAAGAGCGAAAAATATTGTGCATAAGAAAAGTGTGAGAAAAAAATTCCAAATTATGTCCCCAAAAATTTTAATTGCCCAACCCCCCAACCCCTTCCCTCCCCCCTCAAAAATCTAATGCTTCGTCCCTAAGATTTTTGCCTTTAACCATTGTGAGTCCTACGGTTTGGGTTGCTGGTTTGATTCGTGTGGACGCAGCAATTGCCTGAAGGTTTTTTTTCTAGTTCCTAATTTTTTGTTGTTGTCATAATTGTAGAAAGCGAAGGGCCTCCGACAGCATAGATGATGAACAGTCAAGCTGGACCGATGTTGAGACGCGGGTAAATTAACCATTTAAATCACATCAAAGTTTTCTTCGAATAATTTTAAGTACAAAGTTTGCATTGGTTGAGCCGATCAGAGTGCAAAAATACCTACGGTTGAATGGAATAAAAATGGTTGATTATATGGATGTTTTGCTAAAAATGGTAATTTTCTTTTGGACTTAGTKTTCTTTGTTTGTTATGATAGTGTGCGTATGCTGTTGAAGGGAGACCAGGAATGGAGCCTGCTTATGCTCATGTCRTCAACAAGTAAGTAAAAATAATGCAGTTTTTTGCATTTATTTTGACCATTTTTCCCCTTTTCTATTGCAATTTTTCTCATTTCCTCTCTTCCCTTTTTAGTCTTGGTTTCTCCCTTTCCTCCTCTCCCTTTTTTCTCCTCCCTTTTTTCTCCTCTCCCTATTYCCCCTCTCTTTTTTTCTCCTCTTTAGTTTTCCTCCCCCCTTTTTTCTTCTCTCCCTTTTTTATCCTMTCCCTTTTTTCTCCTCTCCCTTATTCCCCTCCCTTTTTTTATTTCCCTTATTTTTCTCCCTTTTTTCTCCTCTTCCTTTTTTTCCTTCCCTCTCTCTCCTTCCCTTTCTCTCTATATACCTTGAAAACGTGCAGACAAAGTTTAGGACAGTTCCATACCGTYGTAACGTTTCGCTGATCGTATTCACATCGTCCGTACAACAATTTTGGCTTCGCTTGCAACGAGCAACAAATYCTTCAACAATCGTTTTGAAATAGCTGTAAAGACGAAGGACTAGCGTCCGAAACGTCAGTAAGTTTTTTCATCTTTTCACGGTGTATAATTTACCTTTTTATCATAACTGTTTCATTAGAAACACCGACGCAGCTCACACTAGTTTATAGCTACTTATCTCTTCTTAGCTGTAAATAAGTATAGATAAATACACCTAATCCTTAATATTTTTTCTTCTGCACTATTCCAGGCGCAAGAAAACYTAATCTAATCCTGCAGAGTTGTCATGGCCAACTCGATCAGAAGCCAACATAGTGGAATCTTGTGCAACCTCACGGCTTCGAGAAAAGCGCACACCATACAATATACTACACTACTACAAGAACCTCTGCTGAGGCATAATTTTTAACCCCGTCTTTACTGATTGGTTTTTTCTTTTTTGTTAAAAATTGTATATAGTTTTCTAATATTATTTTGTAAATTTTCGCGGAAAAACCAGTGCGCAGAGCACTCGAAATACCTGGGTATGCCCAGTAAAATGTAATCATTAACCACGAAACAATGGTTCTAGGTCTTGGTTGAACTTGATGTATTTAGAACATTTACTACATTTTGCGACAACCGTAAGCTAAATACTGCGCGCAGGTCGAAATAGCCTTTTGCGCAAGTAAATAAGCCATAATTTGGAGTCCTAACCACAGGGTTCCCGATTTTTCAAACCAATTTCCACACGAAGGAAGCTAGTGTCGGTAAGTTTTTGTAATTTTTCGAGCATGCGCAGTACTCTATCCCTTTCATTTTATCGCCATTCATTTTCAACCTTGACTTAGAATCTTTGTTAAAATGGAAATATTTTGTTAATGTTCTGTTCAAATGGTTGCGTAATGTATCTCTATTAGCGGACAMCCTTCATTAAACAGACAGCTAGTGGCAAAAAGAAACTATACAATGAAAGTGTCCGCTTGCCAAGCAAATTTATGGCATAAACACGATTTTAGAAAACTGTTCAATT